CTTGTCAAGGCTTCAAACATATTCACCAAGTATTGTTGAGTGATTCTACATCATTTTCTCAAAGAATTGGTGATCGAGTGAAGCTCCATAAGCCATTTTACGGAGGTATAAAGAATTCAACATAACTCATGATTTATGAGTCTTTCTTGCATTATTGTTGTTGCATTACATTGCTCTCATCTCCTACATGGATTCTAGCACAAAAAAGATGGGTTTTATGACAATTTTTGGTTCTTGAGTTTTTCTTGAGGTGCCACGTTTTGGGAGTTAGAGAGAGTTTCAAGAAAATCTAAGACCATATTTGGATTCCTTGATTTTTTTTCCTTCAAGTTTGACTAAAATTTTGTGCGAAACGGATAATTATTGATGGAGTTATGGTGCTTCAAAGTAGCAAAAAACTCATGTTCATGGGGCTGCGGGTTACTATTCACAAAGTTGAAAAATTTGATTTGGAGAAGAAGGTGTTAACACCGTCGGATGCATTTCCAAGTCAAGGTTTCTTCCATTCATCCAACGCCTCTCACTGCGCCACGTAATCGGCCACATAAGCCTCATGCCACTTTTATTTATTCATGTTCTCATATGTTCTTTTATTTTTCTGTTTTATATGCTGACTTCAAATAATCATAAAGAATAGGAAAATTAGTCTTTTTGATCCCCATTTTTTTGTGCTGAATCTTTAAGATGTCTAGGATTTAATAAAACTGGAATTATAAATTTACCATTTTTTGACATTTTCTTTGGATTTTTTACATTTGGGTCGTCATAAAAAGGCCAATGCTGGTGCTATCATTTTGTTGAATTTCTTTGACCTATCAAAACACAATTTAAATGTCAATCCTTTTGCAGGGATCTCGTACACACATTGAGGTATTATGATATATTTTTGTGGGAATTTTATTGTACCATTTTAATTGGTTTTGGATGCTTTCTTTAACATGCTCCACTTTAATCTTTCCTTTGGTATACATGAGATATCTTGCAATGTTTTCATCTTGTTTGACCATTTATCTTTGGATATTTTTGTGGTATCTCTCACCCCTGGTTTGTGGCTTGATGTAGGGCATTGGAGATTTTTATTTGAATTTTTTAGCACCTTTTGCTATTTTTCTTATGTTTTGTATTCGAACTTGTAATTTGGACTTCCGAACGGACTTTATTTTTGTTAAGGCTCCAACGACCACTTTGTGTTTGCGTGATGAACGCCGTGGTTCATATTTCTTATTGTAGATAGGTTATAGGTATTGGAAGACACTTAGGTGGCTGTTATTTGTATGTGTAGCTTGCCCGATTATCGACTTGTTTGCATGATAGCACGTTGCGATTCCAAATAGTGGATTACGCGTTTCATTCGGAGTTTTCACTCGATTCTTTGCATATGATCACTTGATATTTTCTTATTCCATCCATGAATGGGCTTGAGGTTGAGATGAACCTTCCTCCCTCCTTTGCATTGCATTTACCATTGCTATATTCATGTTCACTTGTATGCGGTTATTACTTGTATTTCCGTTTCTTCCTTTCGTTTCCTTTCCTGTAGGACTTCCATTCTTCCTTGTTCAAGGGAGGATGTGATAGACATTAGGAGTTAACCCATGCATGATAACATTAGGGTAGATTTTATTCCCTTTTAACCCTAGGATTTGTAGAGTGTCATCTCTTCTTCCTTCAAAACAACAGAAAAACATTAATAAAGGTTATAACAGAGATTAATTCATTTCTTCCGTCAAAAGATTTGAACAGACATCAACCTTTTTGCAATAAGAAAACCCTTGTTTAAGGTGAGATTTTTCATAAAAAACACTTGAACAGCTTGTGTCGGGCGTAGCCCGAACTACGTTTGCTCTGATCTTCCATGCAGTGTGGAAGTACGTAGGCATAGGATGCGATATCCTAGCGAGCAACCTTCACCCACCTTCCCCCGTAGTTAGGCGAACTACGTTGACTCTGATTTCTCGTTCCAGACGGGAATACGTAGGCATAAAGTGCGATGCTTTGCCGAGTCAAATTTTCTTTTCTTTTCAGACCTCATCCTTTAGTTTAGATAGAAGTGTAATCCGTACAAACCAAACAAGCGTGGATCCCATCGAGTACGATGGACGTGAGGGGTGCTAATACCTTCCCCTTGCGTAACCGACTCCCGAATCCAGGTTTTGGTTGCGATGACCATACCTTTTCCCGTCTTTGCGTTAGGTTTACTTCGAGCGTTTCCTTTCCCTCCTTTGGGATAAATAACGCGCGGTGGCGACTCTTCTGTATTGCCGGCGCCGATTTTCGCAGTAGCGACACTCGTCAATAGGTGGTATGATGTGATCAAGCACATTATAAACACGCGCTTGCACGATGAATAGAGCGGACCAAGAGAGATAGAGATCAGAGTCATTATTCCAAAGATATTATATTAATCACCTGCAGCAACAACGTTCAACAACAGCAACTCAGTTGGATTTGATGCTAAACACCAACAACATTTCATTAACGTAGCGACATGCCCTGACAAATTCAACAACATCCTACACAACTTGTGTACAGAACTCGGTTCTTCCGCAGCTTGCAGTCTCATGAGTTCACTCTTTTTCGATGTTTATAAATAACAAAGAATTCGACATTGCAGCAATCATTCGAATCAAACTTGTTATGGTATTCTAATTGTATAGTTTATGTATGTTTTCGAATGTGATAGTGTAATGCTTATTGTTCTGTGCCTTTCGATTGCGGGCCTGTTTCATGATACTTGCATCAACTATTTTTTGCTTGAGTTTCATGATATGAGGATGCTTGTTAGTTTTCATCAGGTTTTGCTGCAATATAGTGTCGAAATTGCAAAAAAGTCATGTGCTCTTTCTCCACTATTTATGTGCTTATTATTCAATGACTTTTTGATTTTTTAAGCTTCTGTTGGTATTTGTATGAGTGTCGACATTGTTGTTATTGTGACTCATAGACTATGGTTCGGGTTTGTCACACCCTAATTATTAATCCTAAGATCCCACCTCTTTTGTGTATCATCTTACATACCTGCGTGCTTTATTACTAACAGGTTTGTGCAGGAGTATTGGAGATAGGTTTCTTTCTCACATTCAATCATTTCAGGGTGTGACCGTTGGATTCTATTTCAAGGAGTCTTCGGGTTTTCTATTGGTCATTTTCCTTAGAATTTCTCAGAAGTTTCAGTGTATACTCTCGAAGAGGATCAGGGTATTCTTTCCGTCAGTGTTAAGGGCGACCACGTTGGGACTGGCTAAGGTTTTATTGGCAAGTCATATCCTTATTTCCAAGGGCTCCTTGAGGCGTGGTTCATGTGAAAACACCATCATCATCTAAAGGATTGTTTGAGTTTTTATTCAGTCAAGGAGTCAAGGTGCTTCGTGTCGATGAAAGTCTTAAGGAATGTGATTAATCTGTGAAGATTAAGGCAAAAGATTTATTATATTCAGGGTAGTGTTTTCTCTTCAAATACTCGGTACTTGCAATGCAAGAATACAAGTTTGTTTTCATTAAAGATTAAGAACTTTGGTAGAGTGTCCCTTTGATGTTTTGAGTACAATTTGTTCAAATACATTGGTTCAAATTTTTATCCTTGGATTTGTCAAGAAATGATTCAAAAGTGCTAAGGTTTAAGATTTCATGGATTTCTCTGAAAATTGAGTATAAAACTCAAACTTCCTTTGATTGAACTCAAAATATTACAAGCATTTGCAAAAGATTAATGGGTCATGGAAAAATTCCAAAGAAGGTGGATTGTCAACACGAAAAAATAATAATAACTCTAAGTTTGTGAGTTTCAACCATGTTTTCATCAATTATGAGAGCTTTTGGAACATCTTGGTCGATTATAATACTGGTAAGGGATGCGTGGCTTTTGACATATTTTTTCCGCAACGATTTCACACTAGAAATACCCTTTCCATAATTATGTTTTCCATTTGGTCTGATTCTCATCCTAATTTCAGTGTCCAGCATACGACCTCATTAATTGGTATAAACATATCAATATGCTACACATTATCCTATGCTGTTTTGGCGATTATAAAATGGAGGAAAATGATATTGATGCTGCTTGCAAACAATTGCGTTTGGCCTATGACAAATGAGGCCTCAACATTTTTTTTATTTTTAGAATTGGGACTTGAGGAGAGATATGTTCCTGCTCACAAGCTGATTTTGGCTACTCCTCCTTTGCCATCACAATACTGCCCACTGTTTCTCCATGTACTGCTGCAATACGCCTATGCTGGCTGGACACAGATTCCATATGGACTACATTGCTTTTGAGGCCTTAAGTCTTGCCACTGGTGAATTAGTATGAAGAGGTTATGGATCGATGGCAAGTTGTTTTACACGAGAAAGAGGGCAATGAACTTCTCCCGGATTTATTTTAGAGTTCTACTCCCACTTTGTGAACCCATTGATCTCAAACAAAGTTGTGCATTGCATTTCTTCAAAACCTACAGCAAAAAAAACAAAAAGAATTACATTAAACTTTGCTGTCACTATGATGAAGGATTTACCAATAGAGGATTCAGCATACTTCCCATTTTCGACATAAACACAAACTGATTCGACATGATCTTAATCAACATTTCATCAAGTCTTAGAAGCCCAAAAGGAGTCCTTGATCACGACCAAATTGATGCGTCCCATTGAAGGCACCCATAAGGTTTCAAAAAAACCAAGTTAACAAGGTCACCTAGCTATTTCAAGATCCCAACCAGTGCAAAAAAATCACAAATTCAAATATGTTACAAAAGGGAGTTTTTCTTTTCGTGTTAGTTTCCAAACCTACCAGAATCATAACACTGTTGCTCTATACCAATCACCTTGACTCCATTGAATTATATTATACACCAAACAAGATTTTATGGAGGATGTCATATTGCTACTATTCTACCCGATTTCCCCAAGTTTCTACAACCTAGTCACTAACTTTACAGTAAGAAATCACAGACAATAGAAGTTCGACCTTACAAATGGTCATCGTAGTAGTCATTTCACGTGTGCTAGATTGAAGCTCTGAAAACAATCACTGAACCTGCCGCGAGAGCTGATCGTCGTGTTCCTTGCACGTCATAGCTTTGCCAAATATATGCGTCTCTTGGATTATGGTCATAAGTCGCAATATCTTTGTCAATAACATCCATATACACTTGATATGTTCAAAAGAAAGGGAAAATGTATCAATCACCATTGTGCTTAACTTTCTAGATGATGAGACAAATAAACAGAGGAAGACTTCATAATGTTCGATGACGGATGTGTTGTCATAAGCAATGATATTATCACCAAACATTGTTCATGAAAAGTAGATCCAGTTCACAAGAATTTCGACATACCTTGGTAAAACACCCAGATTCCCTTACCATAGTCAGTATACTTTTTGGACTCGCTTGTGGTTAGCATTGTGGGATTAAACAGCTGATGGCAGCAGTAATGGTGCTGCAAAGTCATTTGATGAAGGGCTCACCAAAAACAGATGAAGAAGCAATCCTATTTCGATATTGTTGTTCGAATTTGAAATAAGAGATTTTCAGCCACCAAGTTCTCCACCTACAAACAAATCGAGAATATTCAGAGGAAAGCATCGAAATTCTAACGCTAGATTCAAGACAAAAATCTCTGATTCATCAAATTAAGAGCAGTTAGTACAATTCGAAATCACAAGATAGGTACAGTTTTGGCAAGAACCGCGGGACAGAAGCAAATCATACATAACCAAACATCATTAAAGCCAATCAATTTCCTTCCAAAACAGCCAGCCGATATGACGAACCAAAAGAAGAAATTTCATCAGACACAATCAAACATGGAAAGGTTAAAAAGTGAACTTATAAACCACAATCAAAATCAGATTTCTACACATGCCTATAAAAGGCCAGGTTTCGTACGGAGTAGAGAGGAAGGAGAGGCAGTGATCACAGGAAGTAGTTACACAAACACACAAGAACGTAAATCCACGAAAGGAAATTCAGAGGTTAACGCGAAAAAGCACTCAGGTTCACAAAGAGAAAGGAGAGTAGAATAACACTTATCTTATCATTGGATTTTCTCTCCGAAGAGTTTAGGGTTTGTTTTCACAATTCGGGGGTTTGGGGTTTCTACGTGCGACTTGAAGACCATGATCGTATATGAGCTGGCTAGAGGAAAGATTCCATAGCACCACCACCGTGGTTCGAGCATGGAGGGTAGGGTTGGCAATAAACCGAACCAACTCAAAAATATTTCGAAATTCGGTTAGACAATTAAACCGTTGAACTAGGTTCATGAACCAAATGAGTTGAATATTAGCGAAAAATTAAGTTCGTTAACTAAATGAGCTGAACTTGAACTATACATAGTTCGACTCGCTAGGTTCATGAGTTAACTCGATTACATATGAGAAGAATTATATTATCTTTAAGATTAGGTTTAAATATTTCCTCCAAATCTTAGACAAATTTAATCTTCAATTTAGTAGTTTTTGAATTAGACTCTCAAATGTATCTTTGAAAGTTGTATAGATTTTGAATTAATAGATTTCAAGGATAAAGTTAAATTTCAATATGATAACTGTTATTTTATTTTAATATTTTATTTTTTTAAAAATATTAATTTAAAATGTTAAATATACAAAAAAAAGATTTTAAAAAATAGCTTTTAAGTCTGTGAACCATGTGAATTGAACCTAATGAGATGAACCAAACGAGTTGAACCGAACTATTCGTGAACTTATAACGAGTCGAGTTTGAGTTTAAAAAAAAGTTCGTGTCTAACTCGAACCGAGATATGAGCTGAACCAATTCTTAATGAGTCGAGCCGAGCTGAAGTGAGTTCGACTCGATTCGACTCATTTCCAACCCTAATGGAGGGCGATGAAGAGGAGGCGACAGTGGAAAGAGTGTCACGAGGAAGAAGAAGGGAATAGGGTTTTGAGGTTTCTTTTATGTTTATATGTAGCAAATTGATTCTGTGAGCGCGGTCCTATCTAGCATTGCGTGCACCCCCGTCCTTTACCGTTGATCACGGTCAACTGCTGACCCGTTTTGATGAGACGACCCCTGTTGCGAGTGGACTAAGGGTCTACGATGTACCCCCCTCTTGGTTTGTAAATTCTTTTTGTTGCTTTTTTTTTTCTTTATTTCAATTTTCGTTTTCTTAATTCTTTTTTTTTTTCACTTTTTTTAATTCTAATTTATAATAACAAAAAAAAACCTTTTCTTTTCATAATAATTTTTTTTATTGATCAAGTTTTATTTAGTTCTTTTTATATAATGTAACATATTTAATTTACTTTATAATTAAAAATAAAATGGCTTTTGGTTTCATCAATTATTAATTAAATTTAGAATTCGAATCTTATAATTACTCTTATTAAAATTCAATCACATACTTACAATTATCGTTTCATCACCTTTTTTTAATTACACTGTTTATTTAATCAAATATTCGTGTTAGGTAATATTTAACCCTTAGTCCACACCATTTGGAGATGGGTAAACCCTTACTCCATGATCGTTGTCTTTCAAACCTAGATTTTCTGTTTGTTTGATTATATATATATATATATATATATATATATATATATATATATATATATATATATATATATATATATATATATATATATATATATATATATATATATATATATATATATATATATATATATATATATATATATATATATATGTGTGTGTGTGTGTGTGTGTGTGTGTGTGTGTGTGTGTGTGTGTGTGTGTGTGTGTGTGTGTGTGTGTGTGTGTGTGTGTGTGTGTGTGTGCGCATTCCTGCAGTCACAAGCATCATATTGCATTGGTTTCATAGAATTTAGAGTTTTACTTATGAACATTGCAGGACCATTATGGATTGCAAAAGAAAAAATACTTTGAAATACTCTTTCAAAAGTCTTAAATTGGATGACCTAAGGAAGTTATGAGCTCTGGTTGAAGATCGAGAAAAGTTCAAAGACAAGTATGGGAAGCTATTATCATTACTGAAGGTTAAGGTGGACAACAGACTTCTTTCTACCCTGAAGGTGAGATAATACTTAGAAGGGGGTTGAATAAGTATGAAAGATTAAGACTTAAAAATAATCACACAATTACTTTTATCCTGGTTCGTTTAAACAACTACTCCAGTCCACCCTTCCTAGAGTGATTTGCCTTTCTCAACAAGGACTTAATCCACTATTAAATCAAACTGATTACAATAGTAACACCTAAGAACAACTGTTCTTAGTCTTCTCAAGAGCTACTGATTCCAACTGAATCCTCTTAAGGAAAACCTTTACAATCAATGTAAATCAAATACAAGAGTATTAGTGCTTCTATAAAACTTTTATCACAACAGTGATTTTTCTCTTAAGTTTAAGTACAAGAAATTCTAAGAAGAATATGAAATAATGAGAGCTTAGAAAAAATATGATTTCTTTTCAGCAAATTGTATTTCTAACGTCACTGAAGAATTTGGTGGAGTCTCCCTTTTATAGGCAGCTGATCCAAGGAAGCCGAGCATTGAAAAGAGAGTCCCAAAAAGGTCTGAGCCTTTTTGTCTTCACATCAAGTGACCTTTCCTAGAAGTAGATAGCACAGAAAAATCCTTTTTGTCTGTGTTATTGTGTCTAGCACAAATGAGGAAAGAGACGTTGATTTACTCCAACGGATATATTCTTGAATATTTCTTCTTCAGTTTTCAGCAAGTTCTTTAGAGTCTGAATGAATCAGTCTTCTAATGATATTCAGAACTTTGTTGTATCAGAGTCTTCTGCAGCATGTGTGCTTTCAGCGTGTTGATCATCAGAGCATATTTGACACAGAACTTCAGTACTTGGCAGCGTTAGTATTTTCAGAAACTTCTGTATAATTATGCTTTGAGAAACTCTTCATACAGTATTCTTCTTTGCTTCAGATGCTTCAGCTTCAAATGCTTCTGACTAGCTTCAGATGCTTCTGCTTGCTTCAGGTTCTTCTGGAACTTCTGCTTTAGATCCTTCTGGAGACTACGCTCAGGATCTTCTGTAGACAGCAAACAGAATCTTCTAATGAATGCATCTGGCGCTTCAGAGTCAGGATAACTTCTTGTATACGATACAGATTTGCTTCTAGAGAGTTAATTTCATTTCAATCTGCAGTAAAACTCTCAAACAAATTTTAGAGTATATAATTCTTAAATATAAAATTTCCTAACAGTTATCATCAAAACAAAGAGTTATTATTAAGAACCAATCTGTGTTCTAACAATCTCCCCCTTTTTGATGATGACAAAAAGTATCAGAAATTTTATTTAACTGAACATATAGAATTATAACTCCCCCTGAGATGATGAATCCCCCCCTGAGTTAAATACAAATAGGAATAGAAACTTCCCTTTTGTCTTGAGTAATCTTCAGAGTTAGATTTTGTTTGTTCTTATAATATTTTAGGGTCAGAATGTCTTGCAAATATAAGATTCAGAGTTTGATAATAGACAAATGATCTGAGTAACTCAGAGTTTCTTTTATAGAGTGTTCTTATCAAATGTTCTGAAATAGTCAAGTTAAAATGTTAGATAGAATAGTTATGTCTGAAGTTTCATTCTGGTGAAGTTATATTAAACAGTTCAGATCTATATTTTCTCCCCCTTTTTTGTCATAAGCAAAAAGTAAAAACTTTAAAAAGACAAATAAGAGGAACAATAAATAAGATAATTCAAAGGAGAAAACTTGATTCATTCAAAAGATTAGAGCAAGAGTACATATGTAAGCATTAGAAGACATAGCAATAAAGTTCAGATGCAAACAACAGATGCAAAAAAAAAACATTAGAATGAAAAAAAAATCTAAGAGTGTTTGGACATATCTCTGACTGTCCAGCCTCTAGAGCAGCAATCTTGTCTGCAAAGTCTGGATGTTCTGTCTTTATTTCAGATGAAGAATTAGGAGGTTCTGTAGCCTGAACAGAGTCAATTGCCATAGGTTTTGTAGATCCTGAAGAGGGTTCTGCCAGAGTCATAGTCAATGCATTAGCAGTAGATTCTGTTGATGGTGGAGGAGCATCTAAACGAAGCAGAGGTTCAGTTTTGTTGATAGTCCAGAATAGAGTCCTTTCAGCTCTGAGCTTTGCATCATCAGAACAAACGTTCTTCAGATTTGAAGCTACAGTGTTGAATCTATTGATGAATCCGTTCCAGATGATGTCAGATTCATTGGCATCCATTGTTTCAGAGCATTTCTTCTGAACAGTACCTAAAGACATCTGTATTTCTTGCAAAAAAGTTTGAAATAAATGATCAATATTAAGTCTGGGCTGTGGTTTTAGCAAGGTTTCCAGAGTTATATGTTTAGGTTTGGGAGTTGGTGGAAAAAGTGATTTTGGAATGGAAATCAGAGGAGGAGGATAATATGGAAAGAAAGGAACTTCAGGTTTTTGAGGTAGAGATCTGATTAA